CCTCAGTTCCAATGTCTTTCGCTTCTTTAAAACAATGAAAAGCTTCGATCAACTGATATCTGTCAGATCGTGTTGCAATGTTTACACAAACCGTGGGAATGACCGCTTCTGATTGGCCAGTTTTTCATGTCGTCAAAACAAGTCAAACAATTGATCTCTGTTATCTTTTACAGGAATTGCTGTAAGCGGATTAATTCTACGGCTAAAAGCGAAGGAGTTGAGCAGTGATCCAGACTTCAGAGCCTCACTGGGTTGCTACCAGAGATGGAAAAAGCGCCATTCCATCAGCCTTCGCACTAGGACAACCCTGGCCCAGCGACTCCCACAAGATCTGGAAGAAAAGATCATCCAGTTCCATCGGTTCGTGATCGCACTTCGGCAGCGGTATGGCCATTCGCTCTCCAGGCTGTTCAAATATATGGATGAAACTCCTATGCGATTCGAGCTTCCGTCGAGCAGAACCAACAATGATTTACATGTACCTACCTTTCGTGATCTCGGAAATTTGTGTTTGTTGATAATCGCTCGGCTTACAGTCGAATAAACATTGAATTTCGAATCTTGTTAAGCACCCGTAAATATTTTTTGGCGAAAATACTCGGCTATAAGCCGAACCCCCTTCCGTGGCGAGAATTTACCTGTTCTCAGTTTAATTTATTGGAAAAATCGCTCGGCTTATAGGCGAATAAATACGGTAGGTATAGACACTATCTTCTTGCAGAATCAATGTTGTTTTCCAGAGTTTATAATTTGCAGCAATACCATGTAAAACAGATGAAACAGGGACTGTTTTTTAAAGTGTTTTCTTACATTTCAGTGACTGCATAAGTTTTTTCAATAGTACTCTGGATAGCTCTCGATTTCTTATCCTTCAAGTTACTATTTGTGAACATAATCGAGAATGCCTATGATTTTTCACACATTGAGGTATCCTGGGCTCACAAGAGTTGACTTGATTTAAATATGTTTGAAAATTAATGTAAATGATGTCGTTGCACTCAGAACCCTGCAAAGCTGTCTTAAATGCATTTGTACAAGCATTGCTCTCTAAGGTGGTTGAATTTTGACCCATTGTTGGGTTTTTATGTGTCCCACAAGAGTTTACTATTCATTCCCCAAGGGGAATTTTGGCTCTCTTGGAGGAGATTATATGCTCCCCGAAGAAAATGTTGGCTTGAAAGAGATTAGTTGCTCCCCGAAGTGAATGTTGGCTTAGTTAAACGAGATTTTTTGCCACCCGAAGGAGGAATGACTCTTGACGAGGTTTTGAGATCACCACACAAAGATTTTCAGCTGCACTAAATGCTTGCTTGTCATTCAAGGGAGTCATACAATTTCTGGAAAATTGGGAACTGAATTCTTTGCTAACAACTTCTCCATATATGCAAAGACAGCTATGCTTGATTCTGAAACCTAAATGGCTTAAAGTCATAATGAAATAAGAGGCAGTAAGCTACAAGAACTCACCTTCCACAGTCAACAGTGTCTCAAACCACTTGGGAACTTCGAGAGCACATGGCAAATAGAAGATTTCTCATCTGATCGCGTGCTAACTCCAGGTAACATTCAAGACCATTCAAAGCTATCCTCAACAAAATATTAAACAACAGTGAGATTCCAAAACAAAAAAGGAGTCAAAATTAGGGAATATTGGATCAAAATCAGTACAGTTCATTGTAGGGAACAGAATTCTTTGCTAACAACTTTTCCATAAATGCCAAGACAGCTGTGCTTGATTCTGAAACCTAAATGGTTTAAGTCTTTATGAAATAAGAGACAGTAAACTATGAGAAGAACTCACCTTTCACAGTTGACAGTGTCTCAAACCACTTAGGAGCTTTGAGAGCACAGGGTAAATCAAAGATTTCTCATCTGTTCGCATGCTGATTCCAAGTTACATTCAAGGCGATTCAAAGCTATCCTCAACAAACCATTGAACAACCAGTGAGGTTCCAAAACCAAAAAAGGAGTTAAAATCGGGGAGTATCAGATCAAAATCAGCAGAGTTCGTTGTGGAGTTAAAATCGGGGAATACTGGATCAAAATCGGCAGAGTTCGTTGTGGGGGAACTGAATTCTTTGCTAACAACTTTTCCATAAATTCCAAGATAGTTGCACTTGATTCTGAAACCTAAATGGCTTTAAGTCTTTATGAAATAAGAGACAGAAAGCTACAAGAAGAACTCACCTTTCACAGTTGACAGTGTCTAACCACTTGGGAGCTTTGAGAGCATGTGGCAAATCGAAGATTTCACATCTGTTCATGTGCTAATTCCAAGTAACACTCAAGGCCATTCAAAGCTATCCTCAACAAAACGTTGAACCAACAAGGTTCCCAAACAAACAAGGAGTCAAGATCAAGGGATATCGGATAAAACTCAGCAGAGTTTGTTGTGGGCTCAGATTCTTTTGTTACACCCACTCACTCACTCACTCACTCACCCACTCAAAAGGACAGCATAGTGGCTTACACCTCTTTAGGCAGTAAGCTACAAAAACTGATAGTTATGTACTCAGTGGCTCTGGCAATAGCCGTGCCATGCAGCGACATTCCCACGTTATGACCTAGTCACTACAGACATCAGTTCACATCATTGACCTCCTTTGGATGAACAACTAGTCCACCAAATTTAGGGTCAGTTCATGTGAGCTCAAGCTCTACCAGCTTAGTAACCCTCCACATTGTTTCATATTTCAAACATGAAACCTTCAGCATCTTGCAATACACTTTGGAAGCATCTCAAAGGAGTCCCTTGTATAATAATCAAAATAATACATAGTTGCTCCCAGCCTTATTCCCACCTTTCAAACAAGTCACCATAGACAACGGTTTATATCACTGACATCCAAGAGATAAATGCATAGTCCACCAAATTTAGGCTTGGTTTATTTGAGCTCAAGCTCTACCCACGTGTAAACATAGTAAACCTCTGCGCTGTTCATCAATAATTTATTCTAAACATGAAACCTTCGGCGTGTGGCAATATGCTATGTATAGGCTTTGGTAGCGTCACGAAGGAGTCCCTCGTATAATAAACGAAGTAATACATTTGTTCACGTTCAATTCGATAGCTCACGAGTGAGCGAAGCGAAATTCCACACCTAAGCGCGCTATGTACAATTCTCTACATATACAACTCAACATATATCGACGGTCATAACGAAAGAACTAATATATATCCTTTTCTTGACATTGCTAACATCGGGTCGTTTTCTATCGTTACGTTAAATAAAGGATAACTTTTTGGGTCACGGTGAATGCGTGGCACAGGATCTGTTTAAGTTTTCGACGAAAATGTTACTGACAATGAGAGGTTTTTCGGAAGGGGAGTTGTTTATGTAGTAACTCAGTAAGGCGAAGTAGTTCTTCGGATGCAAACGTATTATGATGGCCTGGAGAGTGGGTTTGTAAGAAGGGAACTCCTCCAGTCTTCAAGTGCGGCAAGTGAACAAACCACACTGTGGATTCACCATCTGCTGCATGCAAACAACAGGACCCCTTGCCTGTTACTCAACACATACTGTGGTCGAGCATGCTTATTAAAAACATTGGGTGTCCATGTAAGAAGGATATTATATTTCGCATGCTTATTTAGAGTAACACTTACCTGCTGATTTACTAGCCGTTGAGAGCAGCAAACCAAACCAGACAACCTCTGCCCGTGTAGCCATGATTGTCGCACAGATGTCAGAAAATTGTGACTATCACACGACTCGATGGAGCGGCAAGCGTATATTCCGAAACCCGTCAGAAGGAGGTCATCTGGGATCGATTTCCGATTTCGAACCGAGCTCACCCGATGCTAGCGTCCAGTTGTTTTCATTTTTTTTCGTCGGTAAGGCCCGGTTCAACCTTCGAATTTCACTTGTGCCGAACTTAATGCATGAATTACAGGAAATTATTGTAATTCATTTATTACCCACAACTCGCCAGGAATTCTATGAATGCAATGCGCGAAAATGCCAAAACAGCACAAAAAAATAGTGAGAGACGAAGGAATTTGTTGTTCTTGCTTTCAAATACAATTGTTTGACGTGCGGTAATTACTTTGTATGAGGTGTTCGGTTTTTGAAACGAATAGGGCACTCCTCGGTTGAAAGTAGGAAACTCTGTGGCATATTGTGGGTCGCGTTTCAACGAAATGATGGAACGTGAAAGTATCATGACCAAAAGCCAAGATAAAAAAGGAAAAACAAACAGCAGAACAAGAGCACCAGTGAAGCAATTAAGCAAACGCTCAATAGACATCTTCGTCTAGCAAATAAGTAGTGCGCCTGGGAATATCGACAGCGAACTGAGTTAAATTCGACTGAATTAAATTCGACGTTTGAATCAAATGCTGTAAGTTCGGCACATGTGAAATTCGACGTTTTAAGTGGGCCTAAAGTAGTGCGCCTGGGAAGATTGACAGCGAACAGAGTTAAATGCGACAGAGTTAAATTCGACGTTTGAATCGAATGCCGTATTTAACTATTTTAGTCGACTAAAATAGGAGTTGAGTTCGGCACATGTGAAATTCGACGTTTGAACTGGGTCTAACCTGTATATCACATTCTACAAAATATCTGATGCCTCCTTTTTACGCATGGCCGATCGCTCCTGCAACATGGTATACTTCACGAAATCTGTCAAAAGGAGGATGTTAAAACACCGGAAATGGAAAGGAAAGATACATGTTACGGTTGACTGTTAGACAACTGAATGGTCAAAATTCGCAAGGGCGGGAAATATTTGTTACTGTCCGAGAAATCAATGCATCTGTTTGCCGTTTGCTCATTCAATTCGTTTTCAGCGTTCGGCCGTATTCCAATGAACTCCAATCGATGATTTCGCTTAAATTCTCGCGATACTCGCGCACATCAAGAATGCTAGCCTATGTACAACCGCCCCATCCCTTCCCGATTTTTTTGAGGGGATGAGGCGGCTGTACACAGGCTACAAGAATGCCTACTCCACAGGTGTCCCAAATTCACGCCTCGAGCAAAAGCGAAGGATTATTTCTTGAAAGCGTCACGCGTTGTGTAACGGGGTGTTAAGTTACGTAAGCAACCCGGTTGGAGAATTAGAATGCGTTATGAGGAATAGTATTGGCAACAAAATATGGTCCATTTAAAACACTAAATGTTCCGAAATAACAACATTTTACAGGTTAGATTAATAAAACCTACTCATTCCTTGTGTGTTCGTTGTGTTTTTTGGCGATTTCTGCTGTTTTGGGCTTGCTTTGCAGTGATGGCAAAGCAAGCCCAAAACAGTGTGTAAAAAAACTCAGTTGACCGGTAGCACCGCACGCGTTGCAAAGAAGGTCGCCAAAACAGCGTTAAATGAACCGTAAACGACAAAGAAGCTACGGAATAAAGGAAAGAAGACTTCATACGATAGATTCCTCGCTTTTGTTTTCCTTTTTAATTTTATATTAATTTTTTTTTTTATAATTTTTCCTATTTTACGGTTGACTGTTGGCACCGCACGTGTTACCACAGGAAGCCCATACAATATGTTTGTGTAGCCGACTGTTGTTTTAGAGTGAATGTACCAGTTTTACCGTTTGCCTCACCTATGATGATATATTGCTGACTATGTATATAAATCAATGATAAGTAAACGTTGAATTACTTTACCTGTGGTGTAAAGTCGTCCCTTTGCCTCAAAAATGTTTCTTCTTTTTAGCGATTTTGAATAAGTCTGAGTTTGTTAATCTAACGTATTAAAGAAACTATTTATTTATTAATAATATACTTGAAAAAATTTCTCAGTTCTGATTGGTAAAGATGAATGCAGTTTTCAGTTAATTCAGTGAAGAGAGTTAATTCCATGCATTAAAGAGTTAATTCAGTGCAAAGAAAGTAACAAATCAGACATTCTGATTGGTCAGATGCAGTTTTGTTAGTCTTTGAAAAAATTTACTCGTGCTTATCTATTCCAAATTGCACTCGAAATCATATGATTACCTACACAAAAATTTGTTATTTTTAATTATTAATTAATTTATTATTTTTTAGAATTTATAATTTTTCGGTCACTCCGGGAATTCCGGGTATTCCAAGTATTCCAGTTCCGAATTCTGGCATTCACTATTTTCCAACCTACTAATTATCAACGTGTTCGATCAGGAAATCAATACGTGGCGAAATTGTTTACACTAACACACTCCGTAAGGTAGCGGAGGGCAGCCACATTATGGCACGATCGGATTTATTACTTTTTTTATTTATTTATCCAAGAGAGTCAAACGCATGTCACATGGTCTAGCGTCGTAAGGCGTATTGGTCTAGTGTCGTGAGGAGTATTAGTCTGAGTCAGCCATCCTGGATGTAAGCGTGGTTTCGAGTAATTTTTTTCAGATGATCGCATAACGAGTTAGTGCTCCTCAAACAAGCCAACGCATCCAGATTCGGCTTGTGTTAGAACTGCAGCTTGCGCAAGAGCTCTTACGCCCTTAAAGGACAACAATTAGCAGCTTGAATCTTCGCTACGAGTTGTACTACACATACATACATACATACATACATACATACATACATACATACATGCATACATAACTTCATTTAGTAAAGCGGGTCAAAAACGGAAAAAAGGCAACTTTACAGCTGATGTGGACCTACTATAATAAATTAACAATAAGATAAAACACATAATAATGTATTATATATTAGATTAGCAAAATAAAAACTCACATATGTATCAATAATAAATTAATAATAAATCAATAATTAAAAATCAATAATTATAAATCAATAATAATAAATAATTCTTATTACACTGAAAGGAGTCTTAATACTCTCGCAAGCCAACAACTATCGGTTTGATCTATCGGTGCAGGTTGCACCACTGAGTCTCTGAAAGAGTTTGAAAGTGCTTGAAACTGTCTGAAGCCTCCTGAAAGTGCCGTAAAGTGAAATAGGTTGCATTGTGGTTGCACTCTCCTGGCACTGTTGACAATTCACGGAGGTATATTTCAAAACGACAAAAGTTAATATGGGAATCTCGATTGTACAATACCGGTCAAGGATTGGCATTTATGACAATTTCGTAAAAACAAAGGATATCTTATCACGTTTTAAAGATCATTTTTGGAGTTTAATGTTTAAGATGTTCTATTTAAAAGTATTTTACTTGCCAGTATTAAAACAAGTGTTTGGATAACACAAATCATTAAAAACTGGATTATTGGATAATGCAATTCAAGAATTTTTATTGGCTTAGCCATTATGGTATATGAGCCAATATACCATAATCTAATATCTGTACATTGTAATATCCGGTTTCTTCTTACAAAATAAAGTCGAGAAGATCTGTCTAATATCTTGGGGGCGTTTTTCTTAACAACACAATTATTCCACTCGCTCTTGTTGGATATGAGATGAGTATAGCTAACTCGGCCGTACGCGCCTCGTTGGCTATCTATCATCTCATATCCAACGCGCGCTCGTGGAATAATTGTTAAATGTGGAATGACGTGATGTTTTGGTTTTCACAAATTATTTTCTACAATACTTATATTTCACTGCTTCCTAGTAGTTTAATGTTACAACTGAAATGTGATTATTATTATCATTATTATGTTTTCAAAGTAATGCCCAGAATTGTTCAGACCTTAACATTTCTTGACTTCCTGTAAGCTTGGCTGTCTTCGGAAATTCTCTTTATAATGGTTCAGATGAGCATTCAATTTGATATTTAAACTTGGTAACAATTAATACATTTGTATTAGGCACTTATTTGGCAGACTACAACTCCTTTTCAGTTATTTGTTTGGTTTTGGCTAACTCATCACAATACTGATATACATGAAAAATTGGCTGAAAACAGCCAGGCGTCTTTTTCATGTATCACTGGTGCAAAAGTAATCATTCAAGTACAAATGTAAACCACTGGTAGGCTCAGCAACAATAGATCATACTAGAAACCAATCAGATTTACCCGAAGTAGGTTGTGCTGATTGATACACATAGTAGCTGACCAAAGTAAACAAAAGATTGAATTTTTTAGGTGCATCGACAGACACTGACAAAATTTCATTCCTGAGTAAGATTTCAGCTGAAGGACAATGTTTGATCGCATGTCAAGTTGACCATTTACATGGTAATGTCAAGTTCACTTTTTCAGTTGATAAAACTGCAAGTATATGAAATGAACAAAGCCAAAATAACGTTCGAGCATGTAAAAGATTCCCTGAAAAAAGCTACATTGTTGGGAATTGATTGTGATGAGATCCCTGTTCCATTTGCTGTACTGCTGTGTTTAAAATCTCCACTTTGTGATGGTTTTCGCGCGAGTCGTAGAAATTGCTATTGTTGCCATGGATTAATATACTACCGCTGACAAGTTGCAATTTATGCTCAGACTCTCAGTCGAGTCTAAGTGTTTACGAGATTACAGACGAGTTTACGAGGACAGAGCTAAGTACCGTTTACGCATGCGCTAGGTTTTGCCGCGCAAACACGGAGTTTGAGTCGTTCGCATGGTTAATTAACAACTATTCACCGAAGTGGAGGTAGTTAGTGATGGATATTTACCGAGCCGCGAAGCGGCGAGGTAAATATCCAACGCTGACCACCGACACTGAGGTGAATAGCTGTTTT